ACCTAATTTAGGTAATGTGTCATGTGCAAGAACTTGGAAAACAAGCCACACTTTTTTTCTTCTTCTAAATATCCAAAGTTTTTCCCTCAAGCTTACCTCTATACCCATCATTGCGACTATCCAAAAGCTCATTAAGACTAAGAGATCCCATAGAGCAGAATGTAGATATAAAGACATCTTGAAAAACCATTTCCTTCTACTAGTGGCATTCTCTAAAGCTCTTCTATGAAAGATGTTCGTCTAGTGATCATACTGTGCAAAAATTCTAGCAATTAAAGAAGTTGAAAATCAAAATTTCCTTGATACCCTAATGTTGGAATTGCACATGGAGAGAAAACTCGATTTTCTTCCTTAGATCGTTTGGGATTCTTGGACCGTAAAAGATCAAGCCTTTGGAACAAGAATGAGTGTAGTACCTGAATATGATGTCCATAAATGCAAAAATCGAAGTGGTGTTTACACCCAAGCTTGAATCTTCCAGAATCACTACAACTAGTTGAAGATGGTTCAATTGTGTATTTGTAGTGTTGGATTGGTTTTTTCAAAATTTACAGCAGCAAAGGTATGATCATTCACGCAAGTTTGTGTGATTTATTTAACCCTGAATAAGTCTAGTACAATGCTAGGGAGGATGGCTAATAGGTTTGGTCGAGTGGGGTTCAAAACCCTAATTTAAGGTATCTCACATGGTTGGATTGGTTTCAACAATGTTGAGGAGAACTTGCATTGTTTGATTCCCCACCTATTGTTCTCTAATTATAGACCATGAAGGGCTACAAGACCCCTCTCCTTGTCTATCTATGACTCCCTAACATGTTAAGAATTAAGCTGGAGAGAGTTTGCTCTCCTAATCCAACCCTTTAGATTGAAATCTAAATAGCTAGTTAAACTAGCAAAATCCTAGTCATAGTAGACTATCTAGTGAATACCAGTTTGACTTGGATTCTCATGTGAGACTTTTAATTATCCATTAGAACTTTAATAATTCTAGAAAACATTCATCCAATGTGCAGATTATAACTTGTATGGCATAGGACCCGCAACTAATGGGAGAGCCAACATGCCACATGATTTATGAGCTAGTGGGGTGGCAACTTAATTATTTAATTAGCCTACAAGGCTAATTTTTTCATAACTATTATGGGCTTAAGTTATCAGGCCCATTAAGTGTCTAAATACTTAAAAACAATGTTCAAAGAATTGGACCAAGCATAGAACTAGAAAAGGAAGAGGTTCACGAGTTAGAGGTTTAAATAGGGTCGAAATAGAGGTTGAACTAAGATGATGTGGCATATATGTATATATACTATGGATCATATAAATACTATATATAATATATTTTGCAACTTTTATTATACTAAAATATGGTGGATGGATGGCAAGTTCTTTAATTTTTAAAGCAAATGACTAGGGTTAAAGCCTCTTAATTTACATTTTCTTTGAAATACATTTATAATAAAGTAATATATACAATAATAAGTCATTAATTAACACAAATAAAGAAGTGTTTTAGTGATAATTGAGTAATATATGAAAATAAGATTTCATGGTTCAAATCTTATCACACTCATTTAGAATTTCAATTATTTGGTGACCCGCAATTTCATAAAACTGGGACTAGTTCACCTGTTTTTCGGTTAAACCGGTTGGTCAATTGGTTTTCATTGAGTTTTTAGACATTATGGTTCTTGGGGTGTGATCGAATCGACTAGGGCTCTAGTCATGATTCAACCAATCTGACCAGCCAATTAGTCGAGTTTTCTAAACACTAGTTAAAATTACTTGGGACCTATTGGTTCAACGTATTATGTGATAATCAAGTCAATACAACCCAAGTGATCACTTGCAATTAACCTCTTTGCTAATAATATTTGACATGACATCAAGGGAATGACTTTTTCCCTCTTTGAAACTTGCCAACTCGATGTTCTCAATCCCATTCTGGTACACTGGCTACATTCCTTGAACACATTGCTTAACAAAGTCTTTCTCCGTGGTGTTCTCGTCAAATATTGTATGAGTAAGCTTTTGGAATCACATCATGTATGCTTGGAGGTCCTCCCAGAGCATTGTTCAATGTTGCACAAATCAGCCATGGTAAGGTGTCACTTTAGGGTGAACCACTTAGCCAGGAACTTGTTGGTGAGCTCTTCCCATGAATCTAGGCTTCCTGGTGTCAGGTTTATGAACTACGAGTAAGATGGTCTGGTCAATGATTTAGAGAACCCGTAGACTTTGAGGTCCCCATCAAAGGCAAAAGACCTCAATGCGTCTTTAAACTTGCTTACATGCTCTTAGGGACTGCCTTTTTGTCCATCATTTAGGGGCCACTACTAGGGTGTATCTGGCTAGATAAAATTTGTAAAGGATCCTACTTGAATACGGTTTTTGTAGGAGGGTGGAAACATGGGTTTTGCTTTGGTTGGCCTCTATCAAGCTCTGGACATATTCTTGGAACTCCACCTAGCTTATTGGTGCTTTAGAAGGGATGGTGTTTGGTCCAGCCACTATGACTTTTAGAGTGGGGCTGAAATAATGAGAAAAGTGGGATGTCTAGCCTACGTTCCTTACTGGGAAAGTTGAGCCATGGGTTTCTTGGTTCTAGGGGCTGGCTGGTTCAGGCATGGTATTTTTGGGATGTATGGCAGGTTGAACAAATGGTCTGGTTGTGGTGAAGGGCGAGCACTCAAGTGTGGCTGTGTGTTATAGGAGTGACTGCAACATCTGTTTCATCTCCTCTGATGATGTTTCATCCAATCGAAGTGGTCTTCGAACTTGTAAACCTTATGGAACATAAATTTTATATCTGCACGATCCCTAGATTATGGGGGAACAACGATCTCAGTTTCATCATTTTGGGTATATTTTTCGTTCATAGAGGGCTCTTCTTGGATGTGACAAAGGTTGATTCTTTTGGCTGCCATCTTGTGATCAATGAATAATCAGAGATTCTAATGTAGGTAGGGTGGTAAGGCAAAGGATGATCGGGGGTGTGTAAGGTGGATGGGTTTTAGTGAGAAGGGATATGAGGATTGTAGGTGAAGGAGGCAAGAAGGATAGGAAGCAAGGACTCCCTTAGTGCTCTTGAGACGAGATCTCATGTACAGATCTTCGTGTCTATATCAAGAAACATATAAAAGGAGCTCTTCTTATCCAAGAAAGGAGATCACGATTCACTGAATACCTAACGAGTAAGCCTTGTGAGGGTTTTGCCACGTGTCCAATGAGGATCTTTTGGGGTCGGGGTTTCTCATCACTTAGGACTCTCATGTGGGCACGTTTCTAACTACATCCCCTTTGTGCTTACTCTTGGTCACATAATGGAAATGAGGTTTTTAGGCGGTAATGTGGCTCGACATAATGGAGAACCGTCATGGTCACCCATACACCATGTTTCATTGTCGAGTTTGCATAGTTATGAGCGACTTGTACAGAACATCACAAGTATGCATATGTGTGCTTGTCATCCTTGTGCAATTTTGAGTCATTGCAAAGGTATGTGATTATGATTTCATGACAATTCGGACGACGATTACAATGCTTATCGCAAGTTCTATAGTGGCTACCTTTGCATGATATCATGGCCCTATTTAAAATCTCCTTGATGTCAATCTACATGTAATTACATTACAATCCCCATTTGTATTCCACTTATATTTTGACCCATCTATATTTAGTAGCATGTTTATTAGCTTTTGACCACTCTTAAGAAGAAATCCTACTTCCACCCTACATAGTTTAAAGATGTTTTTGGAGTTTATCTTATTTTAATGAATAACAAGTTAGTTTGTTACAAGGTTTTAAAAACCTACCCGGAAACGAAACCGTTCTAGCTATCGATTTTCGGGTCAGCGTTTCGACCGTCTAGGTCGAACGGTTTGGACGATTTGCGTCAAGGCAAATAGTTATATACTTATATGAGAAAGGAGAACTGGAGAAGAGAGTCAAGAGACTGTTGTCGATTGAGAAAGAAGAAAAGAAGGAAAGAAAGAAAGGAAGGAGAAAGGAAAAACGGAAAAAAGAGAGAAAGGAAAGGAAGGAAAGAAAGAGGGAAGGATGGAAGAGGAGAATGATTCAACACTCACCGACAATGATAATGGCGACGATGACGAGGAGGCGGTGGTAATAGACACAAATGGAAGCTCTAAGATATGAGTTCTCGGATCTCAGATTTGAGATCGATTTTTCATTTTTTCTGGATCTCAGATCTGAGATCGATTTATGTGCAACTTCTTCTTCTTCTTCTTCTTCTTCTTCTCCTCTCTTTCTCTCTCTCTCTCTCTCTCTGTTGGATCTCATATCTAAGTTTGTGTCTCAGACTCTCAGTTTCTCCCCACTCTACAATTTTCTTAAACCGCGAATTGCTGTTCAAGTCAAACGAGTCGACAGTTCGACCACCCGGGTTAGCGGATTTCTGACGAAATAAATTATTTTTTACCCAAGAATGAATTAAGGGTGAAACAAAATCAATTGCTTGAACGATTTTCGGGCAGAATGGTTTGACTATCCAAATCAACGATGGTTCAAAAACATTGATTTGTTGTGAAGGAAGGATTTAAAACCATTGACCTACATAAAATGGTCAAAACCTTGATGAACACAAAGATAGACATTCATCACTACCATGATGATGAAGATGATCAACATGGCCACAATCACCACTACTAGTCCGGCTTCACCGAATAAATTGAAACCTGAATTTTAGAAAATTCGTATATTTTACTCTTCCTGAGCACGTGACACCTAATATGATGCACCTCTCTCTCTCTCTCTCAACAATCTCCACCCATGTGCCTAGATCCAAAAAATGGAAGACAAAAAACAGCACTGCTGAGTAAGAAAGGCAAAGGGCACTGACTTGACGCAAGCAACTTCTCAACCCTTCCCAGTCCAAGTGTCATCCTAAACTTGGCTTAGACCGTGTCTCTACGTGTCACCAAATAGCACTGTAAAAAAGTAAAAACGAAAGACTTTCCATGGATTAAGATCAATTTGTGAATCAGAGTGACGGAGAGAGAGAGACCCAATCACCCAAAGATGGAGAGTGAATTTCGCCATTTTCTCCTACAAAATCTCTAAACTTTATCTACTCTCTATCCATCTCTGAAAAATTTCCGTTTTTTTCTCATTAACGATAATCTCCCTCTCTATGTGTGTTTGTGTGTGCATGTTCTCTTATTACATTCCTTCTCTCCTCTCTCTGTTCACGCCTTATAAATTAAGCTAGAAAAGAAAACGTTAAATACAAGAGAAACAAACAAACAAACTCATCTAATCTAACATCTAACAACGAACAGATTCCAAGCTCCTTGCTTTCTCTCTCTTTGAAGTCTGATCTCACAGTGTTAGTCTGTCTTTCAATTCTATGTTTTGAATTGGAGGGATGTCTGGGTCTGGAATCTTCAGATGGAAAAGGGTAATACGAGAAACGGCGGGCAGAGCCGCCCGGTTCTCCGTATCGGAAACCCGGTCAAATTACCGATTCTCGCAGAAATCGCCCATCTGTACTCGGTTCAATTGCCTTCACGTCGGGACTTACCGTCGCCGGGAGTCGCTTATCGGTTACCAGGAGCGGCACAAGTGGGAGGGCGGTTCTGACGATTTCCAGACTCGGAAGATTCGGGCTGAAGCCAATTGCCCGAGATGTTCCAAGCAGATGGACCTTCTCTTCTCCAATCGGCATCCACCCATCTACGGCGCTGACAGAGGCAGCTACCAGGCCGTCAACCTCTGCCCCAATTGCAAGACCGCTTACTATTTCCGCCCTTCCAAGATTGCTCCTTTACAGGGAAGCTTCATTGAGATTGGGAGGGTTAGAGGAGGAAAGGATTCGGAGAAGAAATCCGTCAGCGGCGATGGTGGGAGTGGCAATGGCGATGCTACCGGAGAGGATGATTACGGGAATAGGCTTCGGATTTCGTTCTGGGAGACTTTGAGGTCGTTTAGTGGGGACCCACCTGAGAATTGGCCGCCTCCACCTGCTCCACCTCCGGGGAATGGGAATGGATTGGCGGTGCATACGCCTCCAGGCCCGCCTTTTGCGCCTGGGGTGAACGTTATACGGGCGTCTGGGCCCGGTGGGTCCGGTGGCAGCGGCAACGGGAGCGGTGGTGGGTCTTTTGGAGAGAAGAATGGATGGGGTGGGTCGAATTTGGGGAAGGATTTTCCTACACCCAAAGAGATATGTAAGAATCTCGACAAGTTTGTTATTGGACAGCAACGAGCAAAGAAGGTTGCTAGTTTATGCTCATTTTATTCATGAACTTGTCTTTTGTCTTTTACAGTTTACTGATGATGGATGTTTAGGAGAATCCTTAAGTAGAACCTTTTTGTTTCTTTTCTTCTCTTGTCTGGTTTTTGAGTGCTGTTTGATTGTTAGGGTTGATGACTGATGTGTATAAGCACTTTTATTAGTCTTCTGTTCTTTCACTCTCTTTTTCCTGTTCTTGGTTTTGTTTTATAGAATTTGCAGTTAGATGTAGGTACACAAAGAATAGAATTTTAGCCTTGCATTGGAATGCAAATTTCATCTTTGAATTTATAGTTGTGTGTATTTCCATGTTTTGTTTATTGGGTGTTTCTGGGTGTTGTGCACCTTTAATCGATGTTTCATGGTGCAGGTTCTTTCTGTGGCTGTATATAACCACTACAAAAGGATATATCATGCCTCCTTGCAAAAAGGGTTAGTTGTAATGAACCTTTTGTTGTACTTGGTTTGTGGTCAATGATATTAATGTTTCATGGATCAGGTTATCCTGGGTTTTCAGCTTGTTTGCTTTAGATCCAATTAATTTGTGAACAGTTGGCATATATTTTCTTTAGCTACCAGAGATTTAGTGCTTGTTTCTGTTGTGCTGCACTGCTGCTAGTTTAACCTCAACCCAATTCAAACTTAACTAAGCCTTGTCCTAACTATATGGGGTTGGCTACTTGAATCCTTTTCCACCATTTCACTCCGTTTAGTGCCATATCCATTGTTAAGTTATGGGCCCTTAAATAATTTCTACTGCTTATTGTTAAAGCTAAACCACTTAAGTTCCAGGTCTGGAGCAGAACCTGGAAATTCAGAGGCTGAAAATGACGATGACTCAGTGGAGCTGGAGAAAAGCAATGTCCTATTGATGGGGCCTACTGGGTCAGGTATGGCCATTGCTTGCAATTCCAAACCTTTATTGCAGCATGTGATGAAGATACAAGGCCATGACACCTTTTCAGGCCTTTTGTCTTTCAGATCTTTAAGATTTTTTAAAGCTTGCAAAGAGCCTCAAATTGATCTAACCAAGCAACTGCTGCTGTATCAGGCTTGCTAGTAATTTAGTGGTATCTATAATATTTATTTATGGTTTTAGCATGATAAACAGTTACTGAGTATGTATGTTGGTCTAATCCAGTGTTGCATGGAAACGGACACAAAAATCAGAATCCAAAACGTGTCTCGAACTCAGCAAGACAAAAAAAATACTCACAGACACATCTTTAGTATATGCCTATACTTGCCTTGGACTCATGTCAAAATGACAACCATCCAAAAATTTTAGTCCATTTATTCCCTCCTTCCTCTTGCTAGTATATAAAAATGTATAAACTATTTCTTTTGATAAGCTGGAAATGTGTAAACTATTTTTTATATAAAAATGTATAAACTATTTTTTACCATTATTTATCTATAGGAAAAGGTCCTAAAGTCTATCTTTGTTGCTTAATAACATTTTATAAGAAAAATGTCACTCATTCTGTATGTTAGCTGTTCATTTATAGCGAAGGAGAGAGGAAAACATTATGTAGAAGTGTTCCTCAATAATCCATTAAGTTTTAGAGTCTGATGCTTCTCCAACGTGGTCATTCCTTCCATTTAGGAGATTCATTGCAACACTAGTCTGATTTACATACTTGTGTGGACAGGAAAGACATTACTTGCAAAAACACTGGCTCGTTTTGTGAATGTTCCTTTTGTCATTGCTGATGCGACAACATTGACTCAGGCAAGCTTCTTATTCTATCTTTTTTGGCACTTTCCATGATGAAGGGGTGGAAATCATATTACAGCAATAGAGCTGGATTCTTATATGGTTTCAGTTCCTAGTATAAATTGGGAAGTGCTTTCATCTCTAATTGTGTGATGGATCATTCTGATGTTCTGAAATTGATTACTATCAATGTGTATTGTGTCATTGCAATACACATGGGTTTGTTTTGAGATTTAAAGTTTCCAACCTGAATAGGCTATGTCTGACATTTCTCCTTCTTATATCTAAATACGTAAAATTAAACTATACAAATTATCTTTCTTTCTTTTCCTCAATCAGTAATGATAAAACATACCAAGTTTAAAGAAAAAGCTTAGAAGTGCTAAAATATGTTAGATTTTCTATATGTATAGGCGGCTGGGTAGATTGGTCAGTTTACTTAAGGAGGGGCAAAGTTGTCATTGTACTTGCTATCATATTATAATACATAGTAGGTGGCAGATGGAAGAGGACAGATTTTTAACTCCCATTTTACTCTCCTCTCGTTCCTTCTGTTTTCTCCGTCTTGTTTTCTTCTCTGTTTCTGCTTTCTTTTCTATTTTTTTTATTTATTCCAAGATTAATCTCTGGCTGTTTACACAAAGCAACTTTATCAGACTTGGCTATCAATGTGAATTTCCATACAATATCTTCAACATCACAATCACAGACATGCCCTTCTTAGATAGGTCCCTGCTATAAGGATCTTACCTGTTAAACTTAATCAAGGGACGTTTACCCAATGTTGGTTCCAGCTATCCAGGGTATCATGAGGATAGACTGGATATGGACCTAACATTTGGCATTTTTTACACAAAGTGGCTGATCTCAAACTTGAGCGTGCATTCTCATGCTTGTCTGTTAAACTTAATGATTGTAAAAGAACTGCATTTCTTTCTAGAAGAAAATGGAAAGAATGCCAGAAAAATGCAACAGTAGGCAGACAAAGTCATTGATATCGTTTTTGTTCTTATTTCAGTGTTATGGATTTGCTTCCATATATTTGTGATAGTTATTTAAGTTAAATGAGATTCTGAAATACGCAATTGTTGTTTTGTGCAGGCAGGTTATGTTGGAGAAGATGTGGAGTCCATTTTATACAAGCTACTTACGGTATGATTCTTGTTTGTTTCATGTATATACATGCAGACTTTTTGATTGTTGTTTTCTGAATTGCTGAATAACACATCTAAACTAGTTTGGGAATCTAAGAATTGTTGAGCATGCTTGGGATTGCAAACATGTAACATTTTACCTATTTGCTTCAGATATGTATTTTTTATAAGGAACAAAGTTTGATTAATATAAACAGAAATTATGTCATCCCAAGGTGAGGTAGAAGTACCTACCTCACTCCAATATGATTAATTAGAACTGAGTCCAATACGACTGATTTAGTCCCTTGCTTAGCTAAAGAATAAGCTAAACCATTTGCAACCCTTGATACCCAATGAGTTCTTATCACCGTGTTCTTTGTTAACCACTTAATCTTCTTTATAATCTCTTTGTGAATCCAAACTGCTTTCTTCTCATCTTTAATCCATCCAACCACCACCTAGAGTCCCCTTCAATGATTACCCTCTCTAATTTCATTTCTTTTTGCCTTTTGTACTCCATATAAAACAGCAAGAAGTTCAGCTCTTGTGGAATCCCCTAAGCCAACTGGACCCCAAAACAAAGCTAATATATTACCTTCCTTGTCCCTAAAACCCCTCCCACACCTGAAGGGCCTGGATTAGCAGAACTGCTCTTCTCATAAAAATTTAATTTGAAAAAATTATCTTCAGGTGGTTCCCATTCATTTTGTATTTTACTCTTCCTTGATGATGATGTGAAAACCCCTTCAGATATGTAGTTTTTTGTTGCTCAAAAACTTATCCTATTTTTGGATTCCTTCTCTTTTCCCCCTTTTACTATGTTTTCATGTGATGGTTTATTGTCATTGAAAATTCTAATGGTAGTGTAGAGCCATACAGGTGTTGGGGTTGTCATGGCTATGGTCATTGACAAATTTTTTTCTTAGCATCCATGGTATGGATGATAACAGTACAGATACATGCATTTTTGTTTATTTATTTATTCTTGATAAGTTTCAGATACAAGTATTCTCCATGCAGGCTACTTTGGCTTCCCCTTTTTTCATCAATAACAGTGAATAAGTTTATACTTAGAAATAAGAAACCTCATACCTCATGCATGAGGATGAAGGGAATACAAAATAGCCCAGGGCTAGCATCTCTTTTGAGTGGTTCAATTCATCTTGGCTAATTCAGCTTCCCTTTGGAAACTCATCTTTGTACTTTGAATATTTTCTTCTTCATATCTGCTATGAACTTGGTGGGGTGGGTTTAATTTTGGCTGGATGAAGTCATCTTATGTGCAGGGTGTGTTTAAAAAGGGATTATGAAGTTCTATTTGAATTTTGAAAATTTCAAGGTCTTCCAAGTATAAGGTGTGGAAGGTACTACGATGAGTTTTTGGGGAGATTTTTTGGTGGTACATCTCCCCAAAAATTCATCCTAGTACCTTCCCAGCCATATATTGGAAGATGAATGGTAGGATTTGTAGTATTGTCAACTGTCAAGTCTATATAGGCCAAGCACAAAGGATATCAAGCTGAGTGAATCTTTTTGGAAAGGGGGTGAGCAGATTGTATGGAATACACTAATACAGTATTCAGGTGTAAACTGCTGGATAGAGAGATAGAGGAGTGTACTATTTAATTTTCTAAATTGGAAGCGATGAAGATAAAAACGGGTGGACCAGATGCAAGGTGGTTGAAAGAATGTTTGGATGGAACACTTCCTGTTAATATGAAATGATGGCAAGAAATCATGTAGGGAGTTCCAACAAAATGGGATATGGGGTATCCAATTCCACCACGGGTTGGGGCTTTTGCATGGTTGCTGTTTTCGGATTGTATGCTAACTGTGGATCATCTAAAATCCAATTCTTAGGCTTTAGCTTGTGTTCTGATGTTTGTCTACCTGAGATTTTACCATTACACCAAGTAATGCCCCCCTTTAGGGGTGTAGGTCTCCTTTATAAAATCGATCAAGTTTCCAATAAAAAAATGTGGGTGATGAGTGTTTTTTTTTGGGTACAGTAGTGGGTATAAAGAGAGGGTTCTTCAGGGATGGTTCTTTCTATATGGCACTCCTTGTTTTTCTGTTTTCTTTTCTGGTTTTTGGATTTTGGTCATGTACTCCTTGTATGTGTTTTATTTTCCTTTAGGCTGCATTTGATTCCTTGTAGAAGGTGCAGAAGCAAAGTTTTGGCCTTAAAAAGGAAGAAATATTGTTGAGATTTTATAGGTTGGAAAAGTTTCCCTCTATTTTATGTTAAAGGAACAAAGCCTTTATGAATTTATCTACTATTTTAATTTAGTTGTCAGCCTAGTGCTGTGTATTGCGTCCTTTCCCTTGCTATCTGATTTTTTTAATTGATAGATAAAATGGATTTTATATGGGAGGAAAGGAGTTCAAGAATCTTCTTGGGAAGGGAGAGAAACAAAGAAGCTCTCATTGGGACTATTATGATTAGAATGGTCCTTTGGTTGAATTTTTAGGAAATCTTCTCTAATGTTTCAGTGGAAGACATACTTAGGAATTGGAAGGAGGTGGCCAATTCTGCTATAAACAAGGTTTCTACCAATCCTGTTTGGTCTCCACAAGGAAAGTAGGTTCACTAAGCTCAATTTTGATGGAAGTAGCTTGGGTAACTTGGGAATTTCAGGAATAGGAGGGGCTGGTGTTTAGGGATAAAAAGGGAAAAAATTTGGCTTTATTCTCGGGCCTAATCAGTGTAGATCTCTAGGGGATCAGATCTTGACAATGGTCAAAGGTTTACAGAGGACATGAAGTATGAACATTAGAAAATTAATTATTGGAGATTCCAAACTGGTTGCGGGATGGTTACAAAGTGAGGAGGCAAAATTATGGAGTTACAGCAATGAAAGAAAGAAATTCAAATGGTTGACACAAAACATAGAAGTGAAGATAAAACGGGTCAAAAGAAGTGCAAACTCCTTTGCCAATGCTCTAGTAAATAGGGGGTGGGAAGAAATCAGTTATTTTGGGCATGCTTGTAAAATAGGGCAGAAGGATTTGGGGAGAGATAAGAGAGTTTATCTCTTTCTATTTGTATATAGAATTGTTTTCACAATTATTCTTCTTTAATAAAACTTAATAGTTATTCATAAAAAAAATGAATTTTATTAATCAAAGTAGTTTCCGGTACAAGCCTCCCTAGGAGAGGTGCGAGGTTTGACCTCTCCCCTCATATGATATAATAACAATACCAGCTTATGAATGATCCCAATACAACATATCCTTATTCACCCCTTGCTTAGCTATAATGTCTGCAAAAGTATTAACAGTACTCCTCACTCAATGTATACTCAAGGTCATGTTTCTTGTTAGCCATTTGAATTTCCTTATTTCATTGCTGTAACTCCAAATCACAGATTCCAGATCTTTTCATCCACCCCACCACCAGCATAGAGTCTCACCTTCAGCTCATTTGCAACATGAACTCCTTGCAAAACTGCTAACAATTCAGCTCTAGTTGAGTTCCCCACTGGTCCTGAGAAAAGAGCAAGGACATGTCCTTATCCCATATAACCCCCAACTCCTGAAGGGCCTAGATTGCCTTGGCTGCTCCCATCAAAATTAATCTTTACAAAACCTTTTGGAGGGGCTTCCAAGCTGTACCTGCTTTCTCCTTTGTAGAGGAACTTCTTGCCACCTCCCAATTCCTCAAAAGGTCATCAAAAGAGAACAGTGAGAAAGTATTCAAAGTTTTCAACCAATTGATTGCCATTGTCCAGTATACATTCTTTTAACATTTCCAAGTTTCTTTCCTTTTATAGGAAAATTCTTGCATTCCTTTCTTCCCAGATGGTCCTGACTAAAGCTACTTTTACACATCTCAACATGGTTCTTCCACATTTCTTAGGCCACAGAAAAGTAGAAGAGTCGAAGAGACAATTCACCTCTACTGGCAAGTTCTATTTGCACCCAAATAAAGAAAACAGCCATTCCCAAATATCCACAGTAAATGAACAGGATACTAGTAGATGGTAACAACTCTCTCTGTTTGATTTGCAAAGACTACTCCAGTTTGGGGATAAGAAAGTAAAGCTCTTCTTTTCTGCAAGGTGTCCAAGGTATTGACCTTCCCAACACACACTTCCTAACAAAAAGCACTTACTTTGGGTGGGGGGGGGACCAGTTTACACTAGACTTCAGTACAATGCATTAATGGAAAACCTGGGGTGAGGCCGAAAAAAGGAGGCCCAAGAAAAAACGCTCTTAGGATGTGGGATCCAAACTCTTCTATCTTGTTTAGGGAGGGTGTACGCAGACCTTGTCAAGTAATTGCAGAAGGTTAGCCACAACTACTGATTCATCATCCAGCAACCCTCTACAAAAACCAAAATTCCATTTGTGACTCAAAGGAACGATAGGAGGATTAATGAAGTTTAACACAGACATCTTTTTGAACACAGATAGAAAATAGGGAGGAGAAATACCAAGCCACAAGTCTTTCCAAAACCAAACATAGTTCCCAAACTTCAAACCTTATAAAATTGAGGAAAAGGGAAGAATGTTGTGAATAGCCTTCTAGGGTGATGCCAAAGTTGCTTTGTAGGATAAATGTGCATCCCATCCACTTTCCTATCTGCCTTGAATATTGGGAATAACCTCATACCATAACCTTTCCTTCTCCATAGGCTACCTCGACAACCATTTCGCTAGCAATGCTATATTCTTCTTGTTTAGCACACTTGGTTCTAGAAGAGAGGACATGTGTGAGCACTGCAAACTTTCACCTTTAGAGGAAGTTGAACTGTCAAGAAATCAAAAAGAGGGGGCACCAATTGCCATGTTCTACAAAATTCAAGTATGGGCTGTTCAATTCAGGTGGATGGATTTAAATGTCATGCTCAGATTTTGCCAGATAGCTCATGCCAATTTAAGGAGGGAATTCAAGTCATTTGTTCATGATCCAGGAAGTGATCCATTTGAGGAAGTGAGAATTGAAATGTTTCAAGCCAATTCATGTGATGGCTCAAGTAAGTAAGTAACCACGCAGGAGGAAATTTGAGTGTT